TCACTCAAAACGTTACCCAACGAAGATGGTTGCCTCACCTAAAATTTACCCCGAAAAAAATAAAAAAAAAAAATGTGGATGAAAAGAAGGGCACCACTTTCGTGTAGTCATTAGGCAAGATTGGCGAAGCAAGAGTTGCTGGATACAATACGGGACCGTTACCGGAGCTCTACCAAGAAGGACAAGACCCAGGATCCTCGACGAGTTCATCGCGGTCACCGGACACCATCGCAAGCACGGCATCAGGTTGCTGGGGCGAGTGGACGATGATGAGGACCCGCGCATTCCGTCCCAGGCCGGCGGATCTACGATGAGGCCGTCAGGGAAGCGGTGATCGTGATCTGGGAAGCTGCCGACCGTATTTGCGGAAAACGCCTGAAGGCAGCGTTGCCCCACCTGGTGGACTCCATGGAACGCCATGGCCATCTCGCTCTCGACCCCGAGGTACGAGATCGGTTGCTGGCCGCCAGCGCAGCGACCCTCGACCGTCTCCTGAAACCGATCCGTCCCACCGCGGGCAGCCGGCGCCGACGCCGGCGTCGGCAATCGATGGGGAAACGTGTTCCGGTACGCACCTACAATGATTGGAACGGACCGCCGCCGGGCTTTCTGGAGATTGATCTGGTGCTGCACTGCGGTGGACCGCTGTCCGGATCATTCATCCACAGCCTGGTGGCCACCGACATCTGCACCGGTTGGACCGAAGCCGTTCCCCTCCTGGCCAAGGAGCAATCCCTGATTGTGGAGGGACTGGAAGCCATCGGGCAGCGGTTGCCTTTCCGTATCCGTGGCATCGACTCGGACAACGACAGCGCGTTCATCAACGAGACGCTGATCAGGTACTGTCGTCGACCGCGGTATCGAGTTCACCCGGTCGCGAGCGTACCGCAGCAACGACCAGGCCTGGATCGAGCAGAAGAACGGTTCCGTGGTGCGGCGGTTCGTCGGCCATGATCGTTACTCGGGTCAAGTTGCCGGTCAGACCATGGCACACCTTACGGGGCGTTGCGCCTGTACGTGAACTTCTTCCAGCCCTCGTTCAAGCTGATCGACAAGACCCAGGGACGGAGCCACCACCGTCAAGCGTTACAGTCCGCCGACCACGCCGTGCGACCGGCTGATCCAACACGATGCAACCAGCGATGAGATGAGGGCCGCGCTCATCCAGTACCGAGCCAGACTGGACCCAGTGTTGTTGCTGCATACCATCCGAGAAGCCCAGTCGGCCCTGGTGGCGGCGACTGCACCGGAAGTGCGGGAAACGCCGTCAGGCGAAAGCCTGAGCAAGTTTCCTCGCCAAGTTGCCGAGGCTGTGGCGCCAGGGTGAGGTCCGACCTACTCACGCGGCCCGGGTCCGAGGTCCTCGGCACTGGCGGACCCGCAAGGATCCCCTTCGAGGGTGTTTGGGGTGAGGTGCTGGTCTGGTTGCAGGCCGAACCGGATGCCACCGGGCAAGGCGCTGATGGCCAGGCTGCAATCAGAACACTCGGACCGATTCACCGAGGCACAGCTGCGAACCTTGCAACGCCGACTGAAAGAGTGGCGCGGCATCATGGCCAAAGAGCTGGTCTACGCCGGGACTGAAGAAACCTACACAGAACTGGATGGACTGCCGGAATTGGCGCTGGTTGGAGTGGATTCCAGATGCTAAAGTTTCGGTAACATTTCTCAGTGAGGCAACAGGAATCGGCAAATATAGTTGACGCGGGACAAGGGTCCAGGAGTTTATCAGTCGGACGGCCCTGTTGCAGATGCTGGGGAGGCATGGGTACGACGGGACCGGCGGGATGCGTGTCTTGACTGCGGCGATTGACAGATGGCGCGTGGCGACGGGTCGGCACGGGCGCGTGTCCACGGCGGACCTGCGCGCGGGGGTGGAGGACGGGCGCATTGCGCCGAAAACGCGGGTTGTACGAGTCCGATTGGGCTCAGATGATGGGCGCCACGGATGTGGCCGAGCGACTGCGGATGGCCACCGCAATCAAGGATCGGTTGACCGGGCTGTATCGGTACTACGAGCAGCGCCTGTCCCGTGTCAACGAAGTGCTCGACGCCATTCATGCCCAACGGCCGATGCGGTTGGACCTGGACCCCGTGCTCTCCGACAAGGGATAGGGCTCACGAACGCGCGAGAGTGCGCGCGCGCGCGCGCGAAAAAAGAAATACGGACGATGTCCCTATATTAGCGCGTTATTAATCTTAAAGTCATATTAGAAGGTTGGTTTGGAGAATGCCGCATGGCTATTGTTGTTGTCCAGCGATTCTGGGGTCGATTCCGGTAGGGGGCAGGATCGTACGCTAATCGGACGCCAGGGCGAAATCCGCGACCGCTCCAGCGAGGGCCAACACTACCGCATGGCCGGGCTCAACCTGCTCGCCGCCATCGTCATTTACTGGAATACCGCCCATCTCGGCGAAGCGGTCAGACCGCGGAAACACGCCGGCTTGACCGTCGAGCCCGCGCTCCTGGCCCACAGCTCACCCCTTGGGTGGGCCCACATCCTGCTCACCGGCGAATACCGGTGACCAAAGCGCCGATAGCGACCTTAGCGTACGATTCTGCCCCTACCGGAGTGGACCCGAGGCAGCGGACGGCTGGCACAGCTACATTCTGAACGCCCCGATCGCATCGACGTTGCCTTTGATGACCACCGCCTGGTGGCCAATGCTGGGCTGGTCCTGCCGGTGACCTTGGCCCACCACCTGGGTCTGTGCGAGCTGGTGGACCATCACGTTGACTTGGGAGATGCGCCGGGTCGGGCCCATGCGGGAGGCAAAGCTGCTGACCCTAGTGACGTCGGCGCTGGCTGGTCGTGACTGCATTGACGACGCCGATTGCCCTCACGCCGGTTACAACTCTCTGTCGTCGGCCGGATCCACCCGGATGATGCCAGGCACCCTGTCAAAGTCGGTGTCGGCCGTAATGACGCGGGTCACGCCCAAGCGGTGCATCACCGCCAGGTGCAGGAGGTCTCGCGAGTTCAGGCCCCGGTGTTCCTTGGCCAGGTGTCCCGCCGCGAGGACATCATTGATGGTCACCGGAGACACCCTGCCCTGCATCATCGCAGCGAAGCTTTCCACCACGACCTGTCCCGCGTCGCGCCTCTCCGTCCGGAGATAGTGGTGCATGATCTCCTGGAACACCTCGGCGTCCGTGACGAACGCTTCAGGGTTGTCGTTAACAGCAGCCAGGACCCGAATGCACGGTTCACGATAGGGATGCTCCCTTCCGGCCGCGTAAATCGGGACGTTGGCGTCAATAAATGTGGCCGGGGGCATGGGCTTCCTCCAGCTCCCGGGACAGCTCGGCGGGATCGGGCGGCGTCTCGATCTTCAGGGAGATCAGCCGCTCGAAGGCGTTCTGGCGTTCCTTCTTGAGTACACCCTCGTACGCCTGGTCGATCAGGTTCCTGATGATTTCGGAGGCTGACAATCCGGAGTCCTCGACCACGGCGTCGAGCCGGGCCCGGCAATCGTGATCGAGCCGTATATCCAACCTGGGCATGCGCGGCACCTCCGGACATTTTGTACAGCATACATTGTACGCACGAGAAAGCCTGTTGGTCAAAACTATCTGCGGGGAGGCGCAAACGATTGCACAGGTCTACCGCTGCGTTTTGGATGCGTTCGTGGATGGTGAGGTAGGAAAGATTGGTTCGCGCAACATCCATTACGTACAGCAGCGCGTTCGAGAACCGCCGTCGCCAGGCACCAACCAGCATTGGTTTGATGGGAGATGCTCCGGACCGGTGATCTCCTTAAACCAGCGGACCGCTGCACATGCCGTGGTAAAATGTGATCACATTGGCCCATCAACATGACCTTCACATGGTGGACGACATGACCACATACAGCATCAGGGAAGCGAAGGCCCATCTCAGCGCGATACTCCGTGATCTGGACCATGGCGATGAGGTGATCATCACGCGCCGGGGACGTCCGTGCGGACGGCTCACCGCGGTGGATGCCGGCGCCGACGACAAGCCCTCCCTGTCCACGCTGCGAGGCGCGCTCTCCCAACTGCCCGACGCTGACTACCAGGACTTCCAGGACATCAAGGGCATCTGGGAGACCGGGGAGCGGTTGCAAGACGGGCCAACCGGGGATGTCGATGGTTAGCCGGACCCGGTTCGTTGCCGACACCCACGCTCTCTGGTGGTATTTTCGCTCACCAGAACGCCTCAGCGCCGCCGCCAGCGCCATCTTCCAGCTGGCGGAGACCGGCAACGCCACGGTGGTGGTCCCCGCCATAGTGGTGGCCGAGTTCTACTACCTGTCGGCGAAACTGGGCAGTGCCCTGGCGCCGTCGGCGTTGCTGGAAGCCCTGGACTCGGTGAACGGGATAGAGTTGTCGGAGTTGGGTCGGGCACAGCTGGAGAGGCTGGACCGGTTTCCCGATGTTCCAGAGATGCACGACCGGTTGATCGCCGCGGAGGCAGATGCGTTGGGCGCGCCGGTGGTGACCCGGGACGCGGTGCTGGCAGCGTCGGATCGAGTGCCCACCGTCTGGTAGTTGACGCCGCGCCTGCCATTGCTTGGACGCCGAACAGGTGCGTAGAGGATCCGGCGGTTTGATCGGGCCTCGAACCATGGAGTTCGCGACGGCATCACCATCCTTGGCCAAGAAGCCAGCCGCAGGCGTCGTGCTGATCACCGCGCCGTGCCGGCACGTCCCGACCCGGGTCATTGATGACCTTCACCCGCTGGGAAGGTTGATGGTTTGCTCCCGCCGCGAATTGACGTCCGCCGCCGCCCGGGAGTACGATGAGTGCAACTAATGTCTATGACATTGCTCGCACTCATTACGCACCGCTAAGGATCATAACCATGGCACAGATCACCGCCCGGGTGTCGGACGAAGTAGCCGAAGCGCTGGACGCCGCGGCGGCAACGCTCAATCGCAGCCGCGCCGAGGTGATCCGCCAGGCCCTGGAAAGCTACCTGGAGGACTTCGACGACCTCACCGTGGCCCTGGAGCGGCTGCGGGACCCTTCCGATCCGGTTCTGGATTGGGACGAGGTCAGGCGTGAGCTACTCGATACGGATTAGGGGCAGCGCCCGGCGGGAGCTGGCACAGCTACCCCGGGACGCCAGGGAGCGGGTCATTGCAGTCATCGACGCCCTGCGGGAGCAGCCTTTGGCCGGCAGCCCGCTGAAGGGAGGCCTGCGCGGTCTGCGCCGCCAGCGGGTGGGGGACTACCGCATCCTGTACGAACTGCTCGATGACGAGCTGGTCATCCTGGTGGTCCGGGTCGCCCACCGGCGCGAGTCATACCGCCGCAGGTAATGCAGCGTGGAGATTCACGACGAGATCACCATCCCCGGCCAGGAGGCCCGCTACGGCGACGTGCCCTCGTGGCTGGCTGACAGCCCGGTCTGGCCGGCCGTGAATGCGCAGACGGATGGTGGTCAACTGTACCTGCACCAGGCCATGGGGCTGGATCTCTTGGGCCAGGGCCACAACCTGGTGATCAGCACCGGCACCGCCAGCGGCAAGTCCCTGGTCTTCCAGGCGCCCACCCTGGATCACCTGGCCACCCATCCCAACGCCACGGCCATCGCCATCTATCCCATCAAGGCGCTGGCCCGGGACCAGGTCATCCGCTGGCAGAACATGGCGGAGGCCGCCGGACTGGACCCAGCCGCCATCAACCGGATCGACGGCGACGTCCGCGACCTCACCGAGAGGCGGCAGATCCTCCAGCGCACCCGCCTGGCCCTGATGACCCCCGACGTGATCCAGCAGTGGCTGATGGCCTATTCGGAGCCCCTCTATCACCGGCGGCCACTGCGCCACGACCTCAGGGAGGTGCAGAACACCCAGTACAACGTCAGGCGCTTTCTCTCGAACCTGGCGTTTCTCATCCTGGACGAGGCCCACACCTACGACGGCGCCCTGGGCACCCACTGCCTCTACCTGCTGCACCGGCTGCAGCAGAAGCGCAAAGAACTGATGGCAGAGTTCGAACCGCTGCGGATCATCGCGGCCAGCGCCACCATCCACAACCCGGCCCAGCACCTCGAAACGCTCACCGGCCTGCCCTTCCAGGTGGTGGACGACCGGTACAACGGCAGCCCCCGGGCGGAGCTCACGGTGCAGCACGTCATCGGGCGGGAGCCCCACGACGAGGGCTGGCGGGACCTGCAGACGGCGGTGCGGGAGGTGATCAGCGACGATCCCGACCGGTCGTACATCGCCTTCGTGGACGACCGGCAGCTGGCGGAGCGGGCGGCGGCGGGCATCGAGGCCGCTCGCAGCATCACTGAGGATGCCATCATCGTGGAGTCCCGGGACGCCATGGCCTACCGGTCGGGGCTGATGCGCCGGGAGCGGATCGAGGAGGCGCTGCGATCCGGGGACATACGAGGCATTGCCAGCACCAGCGCCATGGAGCTGGGGATCGACATGCCGGACCTGCAGGTGGGCTTCAACCTGGGGCTGCCCCACTCGGTGGGCCGGGTCAGGCAGCGGGCCGGACGGGTGGGTCGCACCGGCCCGGGCCGGTTCATCATCGTGACGCCGCGCCACGCCTTCCAGTTCCATGAGAACAGCCTGGAGGCCTATTGGCGACAGCCGGTGGAGCCGGCCCGGCTCTATCCCGCCAACCCGGTCATCAAGAACACCCACGGCCGCTGCCTGGCCAAGGAGACGGACCTGAACGGGATGGAGCGAGCCATACCGTCGCCCACGGATACCTGGCCGGAGCAGCTGCCCCAGACGCTGCGTGAGATCGCCCGGGGCGATCACTACGCGCCGGAGTTCCAGACCGGAGACCCGCAACAGCCCCACCACAACGACATCCGGGACGCCGCCGATGGCCGGGCGCGCATCGTGCAGCTGATGCCGGGCGGAGAGACGGAGCTTCTGACCAGCGAGGTCACCCGCCGGGAGGCCGCGCGGGACGCCTATCCGTTGGCCACGTACCTCCATGCCAAGCAGTCCTATACCATCCTGGGCTGGCGGGAGTCCGGCGGCGAAACCGTGATCACGGCGCGCCACGCTTCGCCGAGGGAAACCCGGCCCATCACCCACAGCGGCGCCACCGTCACCCTGCAGCAGCCCCGCGTGTCCGCACTGGGACACCTGGAGTACTGCGCCCACGCCCAGGCGGTGGCCTGGGAGCGGATCGTCGGCTGCTCCATACGCGAACCGGGCGATGGTGAATGGCGGGACGTCAACTACGGCCCCGAGGGAATACCCGAGATCGCCACCAACCTACGCACGACCGCCACGGTGATCATCGTCTGGGAGGACTGGTTCGACGACGCCAATACCAGGCGGAACGTGGCCCGCGCCCTCAGGACCGTCATGTGCAGCCGCGAGTCGATCCATCCCGCCGACATCCGCACCACGCACCAGAACGTCCAGGTTGTGCGGGACGGACGCAGCAGCGAGGTGCACCGCGCCATCATCATCTGGGACAAGGTGGGCGGCGGCCTGGGGCTATCGAAGGCCGTCGCCGACAACCTGGGCCGCTACACCCAGGCGCTGCTGGAGATCGCCCGCCAGACGGAAGGACCGCGGT